AATAATAGAAATAGTATAAACTCAGATATGCACAGAAGAAGTGTATGAATAATCAATAAATGAGCCCAACTGAAATAGAATGAATACATCTCCGAGTTTGAAATAAATCTCAACATAATGAGTAAAATAATCTTACTAAGGCACTCAGCCTCTATAAAAAGAAATACAAATCTAGAGTCTAAAAATAAACAACTAAATGTGGAGTTCTAAAATAACTACAAGTATAATAATATCTAGATGGAATTTAAGATGAAATCCCATCAACCTGCGACTCTCCGTGTGCCGGTCTTGTTGCCTGAAGGGGGGGGGAATAACGAGCGTCAAAGCGCTAGCGATATCATCTCCACCACTGCCCAGGAGAAGGGGTAGGAGTATATAAGAAAATAGAGTTAGTACATATAAATATAAAATCATTCATAGAACCCTAACTGGAGATTGGTATTTAGAAATCCATGACACGAGAATTAGTACGTCAGGTGAAATAATCCAAACAATGAAACCCTCATGTTTATACCATGTCTCAAATTATAAATCCCTAAATACCAAGTCCAACTCTATGAATGAATATAGCAACCAAAACAAAAGTACTCCAAACCTCAACTATACAAAACCAATGTCTCATCTCGAACTACCCTCGGGTAGTCAACATAATATCAAAAGAAGAATCACCCAACTCATAATTACCACGGGTCATATCATGTATGCCATTTATCAAAGGATGTACCCTACTCACGGGTAATCTAACATGGGAGCAAAACTACAACTATAAGCATATATATATATATATATATCACTAAATAACGATACTTTTGTAAGGCTCGCATAATGATACGCGGATATCGGATACAACCTCCTTACTCAATCGTTCTTATGGCAAATAGATTTTTATCTGTCTATTTCCGGATTCGCTATTTCATCCAACGGTAATAGGTTTTAGCTCACTATTCTCGGATATGCTTCCAGATGATCATACAACGGTGAATAGGCATATCAGCCCAAACCGGATATACATACATCGATCACCTTCGAGTATTTGGTACAACTGAGGGCTCGTTATAGGAATCATAACCAAATGCCCCTAGTGTGGTACAACCGAAGTCTCATTTCGGGATAAACACCCACGCTGAGCATCCATAACTAATGAGTAAATACTTTATCATACATTAATTCACCTTCATCATCTCAACTTATATCTACTATCTCAATAATGTGAGTCAAAATAGCACCAACTAAGTGTATGTGCACATATCTCGGTGTGCGTGTCCATGTTTGGTATTCACCATCATCTCAGGTGTTAAACAACTCTTAAATATTAAAATAAGGCTAAATACCCATATTGGTATTTTAATTCCACCCCAATTTCCAACAAGGTATTTTAAATAGGCAAACCCGCTTTAAGACATTTTAATTGATCCAACTAATCAATAAGGCATGTTTTCTCGTCGGCGGGAAAATTTCCGACGAGATCTCTTCACGTGCATGGCACGTGATGTCTCAAAACTCATTTTTAGCAGCGGCGACGGCAACAATCTCATCATATTCAGCCCAAAGTAGGATAAAATAATGGTTATGACGCCGCCTGAGATCGTTAACCCCATCGAATCGGCTGAATATGACGAGATTGTTGCCTTCGCCGCTGCTAAAAACGAGTTTTGAGACATCATGTGCCATGCACGTGACGAGATCTCGCCGGAAATTTTCCCGCCGACGAGAAATCATGCCTTATTGGTTACTTGGATCAATTAAAATGTCTTAAAGCGGGTTTGCCTATTTAAAATACCTTGTTAGAAATTGGGGTGGAATTAAAATACCAATATGGGTATTTAGCCATTAAAATAATATAGTACAAGATCGAGAAATTCTCTCAAAAACCAAACAGTGTCAAAAAGAATATCGCATGCCGACTGGCAGAAAAAAAACATTTTTTGGGGGCGCCGGTTCGACCGCAGAGCATAGCGCAGTCGACCGAACAGAACGAAAGATCCTAGGCTCGCTGGCGAACGGTCGACCGCAAGGTGAGCGGCGGTCGACCGGACGTGACATCTACAGAACGTGTATTTTTTTGTACATGTAGTGTTTGTGATGTGATTTTGTGATTTAACTTGATTAAAACAATATGAATCTTGCATGAAATCATATCAACATCAGTTTAACATCGTTGGGAACAAAATCAATATTTAAAGCATGATTATTCGTACAAGAAATCATATTTAAACCCTCAATTATGTATAAAACTTCAAAACGAAGAACAAAATATCTAAATTTAGATGAACAATGTTTTAAATCGTTTTCAGATCTTAAAACACTTCTGTAAATTTGTTCTTAACCTCTTTAGCATGAAAAGACCTAGTCTTTATACACATAATATACAAGATTTGATTTTTATACACATATTACTCAATTAGGCTCTACAAATCTTATTAAAACTCTTTTAAAAACATTTTAATAACTTGGAGAGGGATTAGCAGAGATAAAACTCGCCTAAGACTTGTTGAAAAACGTGCAAGATGCAAAGCCAATGTAGATCCTTAATCCAAAAGCTAAAAACTAATAGAAATTCTACTCAAAAGCCTTGAATCTTCTCCAAAAAATCAAAATAGGGTTTATGGGGTGTTTGGTGGCTACTAGGTTCTTAAAACTCGTGATATATATATATATATCAGGAAAAACGAATATGGGCCTCAAAACCTGAAACCAACACAAACTGGGAAAAATAGTTTTCCCGATCCGCGATCGACCACAGGGTGAGCGGCGGTCGACCGGAGCATAAGTTTTTAGCTGTGCAGAGCTTTGCCATTGTGCATGTTTTGACCCGTTTCTCTCTTATGTACTGACTTGTTTACACTCAAAGTACTTGTTAGTGTACTCATACACTAATAAATAATTTAGCAAAATAAAAATTCATTTATGGTAATTAATCATATATTAATTCCATTCATCATTCATAAGTTTAAAATTTTCGGGGTTTTACAGTGTTGTTAGTACGACAAAATTGGGATATTGAAATAAGATTCTTTTTCATGGCAGGTACACATAACACATTAGATAAAGTGAAGGATTGAGAGGGAGTTGTAAGAGAGGTTGAACCAGTGTGGGATATATAGAGTCTCGTGCCATTACCAATAATAATATCATCAGTGCCATCATATGGTGTGTGATAGGAGAGATTCTGGAGATCAGTTGTGACATGATAAGAGACACCACTGTCGAGAAGCCAAGTGGGACTAGTGGTGTTATCTGCGGTGGATACATTGGCTCGAGGTTGAGATGGACGCGAATGCCATGGAGTGTTGGGACATGGTTGCCATGGGTTTGAGGGATGAGGTTGTCATTGATTCCCCGAGGGCGACAGTACTTACATATTTGGTTAGACTTGGTGAAAGCTAGGGCAATTAGCAAGTACATGCCCCTTGGTGTTACACCATTGACAGCAGCCAAGAAACGAACGAGGTGAGACACGCCCATCCGGAGTAGGTTTTTGTTCAACTTGATCAGTCTTCGGAGAGAATGATGAGAAACGGTTGTTGGGGGCCCAGATTTGGTCTTGGTATATGTTGGATTGGCTGTGGCAGGAAAATGTGATGGCCCGGTCTTTTGTCGGAGGGTGAGCTCTTTGTTGATGAGTTTTTCAAGGAGTTCATCAAACGATATAGTGGTCTCACGACCATTAACAGCATCAATAACAGATTGATATTCATCATCAAGACTGACGAGAATTTTTTCAGTGAGATCTTCTTGGTCTAGAGGTTTTCTGAGAGCTGCAAGTTTATCAGCACGGGTTTTGATAGACTGCATGTAATCAGATATAGTTTGTGCACCATTGGTGATTTGTTTGAGTTGATCTTTAATTTGTTTGATGTGGCCTCGAGAGGGTCGAGCATATGTGTTGGCCAGAACCTGCCAAAACTTGTAATATATTTTAGATTGAGTGATGAGAGGGATAATAGAGGGTGAAAGGTTTCTGACGAGTGCGCCAAAAATCAGTGTATCCTAGCAAACCCAGGTGGTGTGCTCAGGATTGGATTCTTTCTTATTGTCTTTGGTGATCTTTTCGGGTGGGGTCGAATGAGAGCCATCAATGAATTTTTGCAGATCGTAACCGATAAGAATCGCTTCAATCTGCAGTTTTCAAAAGAGGTAATTGGTGGTCGTAAGTTTGATGGAGTTGTGGATGGTGATCATGATGAGAGGTTTGGTGGGTTCTTGGGAATTGGGAATGATAATTTGATTGTTGGCAGTGGCCATTAGAGAGAAGACGTTTAGAAATTAAAGAAGGATTGTAGAGATGGCTTTTGATCAGTGCTCTGATACCATAAAGAGAAGGGAGAAGATGGGAGAATTATATTTTATTCCACTCAACATAATGAAACAATTACATGTATATATATACATCAATACTTCAAGAATCATCTAAACTAGGAAAGTATATAAATAAATATGAACACAATATTTGACCAAATCCTTAAATTAATTCTGCCGAATCAGCCAGCCTTTTTTTCCCTGCTTTGGATGGATTTGGTATCTCTATCATTAATAACCATCCAATTTTAAGTTTTTACTGGAATACATGTTGGCTCCTGATTCTAAAGTCAATCGCTTACTCTCCAACATAGGATATTCCCCTCATTCTTTTAAATTATAAAGCTGTCGGTATTTTACGTATTGTATTATTTTATTTCTAATTTGTTTTTTAAAATAAATTTTTCATGTTTTTCTTAATATAAAAAATCAAAAATACTTTGAACGGTGTATGGTAAGAGCTGCAAAAACCACTTGAGGGTATATAAGCACAAAGTAGGGGAAACTATTGGGTATATAGTGCAATTAAGCTTATAACTATTATTAGATTGACATTCAAGAATACTAGTGGATGTTAGCAGAATGCTCTAGTTGTCAATGGTTTATGACAATAGCCAATCAGATTTAAGGTGCTATAGTGACTCCACTAATAAGAAAAATTATTTGAAGATTTTAACATTTATGAGATTTTCAATTTGCAGAGGCTTTATTCTCTTGATGCAAGGAAATTTGTGATAGGGAATGTGGGACCTATAGGATGCATACCTTATCAAAAGACAATAAATCAAATTGAGGAGACAGAGTGTGCTGGCTTACCAAATAAACTTGCACTCCAATACAATAGCAAGTTAAGGGACTTGCTCGTTCAACTCAATCAAGAACTCCCCGGAGCCAAATTTGTTCTTGCAAATGTTTATGATCTAGTTATGGAACTGATCACTAATCATAAAAAATATGGTAAGTGAAGCTCTATGGACTTAACTTATCCTTCAATTTATTTTAGCTATCATTTTAAGCGTCGCATGCATATCTCTATTTTCCTTAACCCGGATAATCATTCATAATAAAACAAATTTATGATGTCCGTCTCGTAACTAGTGATCAATGTAAAGGTACTTACATGCAACTTGGTATATGTTCAGGGTTCAAAACGGCAAGTTCCGCTTGTTGCGGAAATGGAGGGAGATTTGCTGGTATAATACCGTGTGGGCCCACCTCAAGTATATGCGAGAACCGCTCCGAATACGTATTTTGGGATCCGTATCATCCAAGCGAGGCTGCCAACCTCATAATTGCGAAGAAACTCGTTGATGGAGAGACCAAATACATTTCCCCCATGAATATCCGAGCACTCAAAAACCTATGAACAAAATGCCATATATTTTTTGGAATATTTGTTATGATTGCAAAGGAAACTTCTATGTTGTGAGATTGATTAAGAGCTTGAGTGTCTCCTCAAAAAAAAATTAAGAGCTTGAGTGTACTTAATTTTATACATGCGAGAGTTAACATAAACTTCTTAGAACTTGGGTGCTCTCAGTTTGTATTTGTGTATTGAAGCGTGGTTTGGTCTTCAGTATGGACTATTCGCGACGTGAGCGTTTAGATGGCATCCAGTAGAGAGTTAGAAAGAAGATATGTATCTGATGTTGGAGTCAGTATGTACTCTTAAATAACTTCTACTCAATCGACAGTCCGAGGTTATGGTGAATGTTTTTTTTTCTTTAGGAAAAAGGATAGGGTCTTAACAAGACCCTAACCATCAAATTAAGTGATGATGAAAATCGAGGGTTATAATTTTGTATTTAAAAATGGTGCAGATTACAATTTTTTATTTTAGCGTGGCACCACAAACTAGAATTCACAATACAATTTTCTTTTTAAAAAAATCCGTTTTATATATGTGGTGAGATTTGAGTCTGGAATTTTTCGTTTGGCTAAATTATTAAAGAAAAAGGTTATTTCGATTGGTTTGGTACATACTAATACTCTTTGCTACTTAATCTGTTTCATTTGACCAGCTGCAAATATGAAATTAAAACAAACTAGTATGTGTTGGAAGCTTTGTTCATGAAAAGGCAATTTTGTCTTTGTGAATAGTCCCACATTGGAAAATGAGATAAATAGTAAAGGGTATATAATGGTTCTCTCCTTATTGAGCTTTGAATAGTGTTTTGGGTTTTGTGGGCTTTGCATTTCTACCACACACGCGCACGCCACGCCGCACACCTTTTTGCTTCTCAAGGTTTTGTTTTTGCACGTTTTACACGTTCTGTAACGGCTGCATGCGGGTAACGGAAGCAAGATTCGTGCGTAACGGTCCCTTGGATTCAGCGGGGTTACACCTCTCCTCACCTATATAAGCAGGCTTGGAGCTCATTCAGTAACGGTCCCTTGGATTCAGCGGGGTTACACCTCTCCTCACCTATATAAGCAGGCTTGGAGCTCATTCAGAGGTACACCAACGAAGAGAAGAACTTCTAAGCTCTCTTCTTTCTCTACTCTCATTCCTCCAAGAAATTTCGGCTACATATTTTATATTTCAATTTTTGGGCAACCGTTTTCGTCTGAGCATAAGCTATGTGACTCACGTCCGAGTGCAGAGGCCGGCCGATTGTGGGGATTTTTACCGCTAGGGGAGAGGGGACAAATTGCGCCAGGGCGATAGGCGGGTCCTTAATCTTCTAGGACAGTGATATCACGACTGCTCCCGATCAGGCCTGAATTTTCTAACTCTTTAATTTGTTTTTATATTATTGTATTCCAGTTTTGACAGCAATCTAGAAGATTAATTAAAATTTCTTTCTGTTAATTTAAAAAAAAAATAAAAAAAATTACTTGTTGTATTAGTTAATTGTTTTAATTTGTTGCATCTAAATTAGTTAAAAAAAATTATTTCTTTGCTGCTTCTGTACTCAATTTCTGCATCTGTCATATATATATAATAAAAAAAACAAAAAAAAAATTAAGTGAACCGGTTCAAGTTTTCTTGGATTAGTTGGTGTCTAAGACAATGTTTAAGGGTTGCGTCAAGCGCTCTGCAAGAAACGAGGTACTTAATAGATCTTTGATCAACCTCTAGTACTATCTTTACCTGGCCAAACTACCCGAGTAAAACTTTTATCTTTTCACTTTCAGAGTTTTTGATTTAAAGCAGGTTTAATTAAGTTTCTGGTCTAGTAATATTAACAAAATCCTTTTTTATATCAGATTACATCTACCTAGACTAGTAAACTTGAATTGGACTTATGGCAATTCCTGATCATTCAAAAAGTGTCAAACCTGAGAAGTTCACCGGTGTTAACTATAAACGGTGGGCTAATCAGATAAAATACTGGCTCACTACCTTAGGTCTTTTATCTGCTATTGACACTTCTGAGTCATCTACTAGTGGTTCTCAACCTTTGACTCATGATCCTACTCAACCTGCTCCTTCCACTTCTGGTTCTTGTGCTAGCTCCTTTTCTAGCTCTATGAAACCAGAAGAAATCAACTATCATTGTTGTCATAGGATCCTTAGTGTACTTGCGGACAACCTTTATGACATATATTATGAGTTCAAAAGTGCAAAAGACCTATGGAATGCTCTTGAAGCAGAATATGGCTATGATGATGCCGGAATTCTGCGTTTCACCTCCTCCTCCTTCAATAAGTTCATGATGGTTGATGACAAGCCCATTAATGAACAAATTCATGAATTCCTAGATTTCCTCCGTCATCTCCAATCAAAAGGAAACACTTTTACTGACGATTATAAAGTTTCCTATTTGATTGATAAACTTCCTCCCTCCTGGTCTAGATTTGCTGGAGAGCTCCGACACAAGCAATGAGATCTAACCTTAACTGAAGCCCTCAAGGCTATTCGTATTGAAGACCAGCATAGGCAAAATTCCAACACCAAGAATGAAACAAAAGCTAAAGTAAACTTGGTAGAGGATAAGCCTAAATCTAAGAATTTCAAACCCAAAGAAAAGAAATTCAAGAAAAATCAACAATCTTTCAACAAATCTTCCTTCAAACCAAATCCCAATTCTTCCAGCCATAAGTCTGATAAGAAGTTCTGCTTTGTCTGTGGTAGAACCAACCACATGGTTCACAACTGTTTCTTTCGGAAGAATGAACCGGCCAAACCTGCCCCTAAAGGAAATGGATCCAACAAAGTTAATATGATTGAAATGAATCCAACCTCCTTCAGGTTAGCCTCTTCATCTCATCTTGTAAATTCTCTAACTTCTTCCACTGATTGGTATTTGGATTCCGGAGCAAATATCCACGTCTGTAATGACCGCTCTTGGTTTTTAAATTATCAGGAATCACGTGGAGGAAGCATAGGCTTAGCAGATGACTCCACTAAATCAATAATAGGAAGTGGACGTATAGAGCTCACCATGACTTCTGAGAAAGTTCTTCATCTGCAAGGCGTTTATCATGTTCCTTCTCTCCGTCACAATCTGATTAGTGAATCTCTTCTTCTTAGAGCTGGTTATAGGATTGTAAAAAAATCCAACAAATTTGTGATTACAAAGAGTAATGTTTTCATAGGAAAATGTTTTATCTGTAATGGCCTTTTCAAACTCAATGTAATCAATTCCAGTTCTAATGAAATTTCTGAGTCTTCTGTTATTCAAATTGTTGAGTCTTGTGATGTTTGGCATGGACGACTTGGACATGTCAATTTCCAAACCTTGCAGAGAATGAGTAAATTAAACCTCATTCCTAAATCTTCTCATGATCCCTCATCTAAATGTGAAATCTGTGTTCAAGGGAAACACACTAAAAAACCCTTCAAGTCTATAACTAGAAACTCTGAACCCCTCGAATTAATTCATAGTGATGTGTGTGACTCTAACCGAGTTCTCACCCGAGGGGGTAGGAGGTATTTTATGACTTTTATAGACGATCACTCCAGATATTGTTACACCTATCTTCTTAAAACTAAAGATGAAGTCTTAGATAGGTTTAAGGTATTCAAAGCTGAATCTGAGAACCAACTTGACAGGAAGATCAAGATTCTAAGATCTGATCATGGGAGGGAGTATACCTCAAATCATATGACTGAATATTGCCAAGAACACGGTATTATTCATGAGGTTACTGCTCCCTATACACCACAGTCTAACGGGGTAGCTGAACGAAAGAATAGAACCCTAATGGACATGGTGAACTGTATGTTACTCAGTTCAGGAGCACCTGAAAATCTCTGGGGTGAAGCTCTTCTTTCTGCTTGCTTCATTCTCAATAGGATTCCCCAGAAATATTCCGATACAACTCCTTATGAATATTGGAAGGGGAGATCTCCTAATCTGAATTTCTTTCGGGTTTGGGGTTGCTTGGCTAAAGTAGCTATTCCCGAACCTAAGAAGAGAAAAATTGGTTCTAAGACTGTAGATGCTGTTTTTATTGGATATGCACTTACTAGATAGCAATGTTAACAGATTTCTAGTCATCAAATCTGAAATCAGTGACATATCCAACAATACCATCATTGAAGCAAGAGATGCAGTCTACTTTGAAAACATCTTTCCTTTCAAATCTAAAATCTCAGAAAATCTCAGATCATCCATTCCGTCTGATCTACCATCTTTCAGTTCTTCTCAACCTCTTGATATTGAACCTCGAAGAAGCAAAAGAGGTAGAATCGAAAAGGATTTTGGAGAAGACTTCCTTAACTTTCTTGTTGAAGGTGATCCAAGCTCATTCCAAGTAGCAATGGATTCACCTGAATCTCCTTTCAGGAAAGAAGCCATTGATAATGAAATTAAATCTATCATGGAAAACCATACTTTGATACTCACTGACTTACCTCCAGGTTGTAAACCTATTGGTTGTAAGTGGATATTCAAGAAGAAACTCAGAGCTGATGGTTCCATAGATAAATTTAAAGCTAGATTAGTAGCTAAAGGCTATAATCAATAAAAGGGCATTGATTATTTTGATACCTATTCTCCTGTTGACCGAATCTCAACTATCCGAGTATTATTAGCCTTTGCTGCTATCCATAAGCTAATCATACATCAGATGGATGTCAAGACTGCTTTCCTGAATGGTGATTTAGATAAAGAGATCTATATGCACCAACCTGAAGGCCTCATTGCCAAGGGTCAGGAAAACAAAGTCTGTAAGCTTGTTAAATCTTTGTATGGTCTTAAACAAGCTCCTAAACAATGGCACCAGAAATTTAACAACGTCATTGCACGATATGGCTTCACTGTGAATGAATACGATAAATGTGTCTATTCTAAAGTGATAAACAATGACTATGTCATTCTCTGTCTCTATGTTGATGATATCCTTATCTTTGGAACAACACTTGAATTAATTTCAAAGGTTAAGGATTATCTTTCCAAAAACTTTGATATGAAAGACTTAGGTCTTGCAGACATGATACTTAGAATGAAAATCTCTAGAGATACTAGAGGAATATCTTTGAGTCTTTCCCATAGCATTGATAAAATGCTAATCAAATTCAACTTTCATAACTCTAAACCTGTTTCCACACCTTATGATTCTTCTATATCCTTGAAAAAAAATAAAGGTGAACCTGTCTCCCAGCTGAAATATTCTCAGATGATTGGATCTCTTCTTTACATATCCAACCGAACCAGACCCGATATAGCTTATGCTGTAGGGAGACTGAGTCGGTATACTAGCAACCCTAGCAAAGATCATTGCACTGCCTTAGAAAGAGTATTCAAATATCTGAAAGGCACAATTGACTATTGCTTGACTTACACTGGTTACCCTGATGCTATAGAAGGGTATAGTGACGCCAACTGGGTCACGGATTCTAACAGTATAAAGTCGACATCTGGATATGTATTTCTTTTTGGTGGTGCTGCTGTATCCTGGAAATCATGTAAGCAAACAATAATTGCCAGGAGCACCATGGAATCTGAGCTGATTGCTCTTGATACTACTTGCACAGAAGCCGAATGGTTAAAAGATCTTCTCTCTGAACTTCCTTTAGTCCTTAGACCCTCTCCTCCTATTTCCATTCACTCTGATTCTAGATCTACCATAGAGCTTCTAAAGCAAGTACATGTAAATAAAAAACATAACAGACATATTCAAATAAGATATAAGTCTGTACAACGCCTATTATGCAAAGTTGTGATCTTAGACTTTGTAAAGTCTGAGAAAAATCTTGCTAACCCTTTGACTAAGGGATTATCCAGGAGTGTGGTTCTAGATTCATCGAGGAAGATGGGGTTAAGCCCATAAATGAGGTCACTGACAACGGCAACCCAACCCTTATTTGGAGACGTAGTCCCAATGTCGGTTCAATGTGGTAGAAACAAGCTGGACAAGTGACTCTCGTGTGGAGCATCGACCTAGATATATTTATATATCATTATGTAGCATTTGCTACTACCCTTTCTCTATGATGAAGATGCTCTTATGATACAGCTGGCTAGGCTGAGTTTTACTCTTAATAAGTCCAACGCGTGTATTGTGGGGGGTATTAAATAAACAGCTGTAGTACCCTTTGAGGACTTACCTACGTGAGAGGAACCGTGATGGCCGCGGTTGGGGGGGGGGCAGGGCTGACCCCTAGAAACTCTCATGAGTCGGTTTTTTGTGAGCATGGCCTTTAACGCTTAACCCGCTTAGCTCAATAGATAAAAACGTATTGTGTGTGTTTTTATCAATACCTGATCCAATGGGCCTAATTCAAGGCTTAGTCCATTATGTCCCTCAGGTGGCGATGAACCCACTAAGGAAAGGTTCAAAGCCAAAAGCTACATTTTCCGAATTCACGATACGAAAGGTTGCCCAACCTATATTTATTTTGTGATTTATTTATTGATTTATTATTTTGAATTTTCAGTCAATATTGCCTTTTGGGGGGGACTGTTGGAAGCTTTGTTCATGAAAAGGTAATTTTGCCTTTGTGAATAGTCCCACATTGGAAAATGAGATGAATAGTAAAGGGAATATAATGGTTCTCTCCTTATTGGGCTTTGAATAGTGTTTTGGGTTTTGTGGGCTTTGCATTTCTACCACACACGCGCGCACGCACGCCACGTCTCGCCTCGCCTCGCCACGCCACGCCTCGCCCGCACGCGCCCCACGCCACGCCGCATACGCACACCTTTTTGCTTCTCAAGCTTTTATTTTTGTACGTTTTACATGTTCTGTAACGGCTGCATGCGGGTAATGGAAGCAAGATTCGTGTGTAACGGTCCCTTGGATTCAGCGGGGTTACACCTCTCCTCACCTATATAAGCAGGCTTGGAGCTCATTCAGAGGTACACCAACGAAGAGAAGAACTTCTAAGCTCTCTTCTTTCTCTACTCTCATTCCTCCAAGAAATTTCGGCTACATATTTTATATTTCTATTTTTGGGCAACCGTTTTCGTCTGAGCATAAGCTCTGTGACTCACGCCCGAGTGCAGAGGCCGGCCGATTGCGGGGATTTTTACCGCTAGGGGAGATGCAACAAATTGCGCCAGGGCGATAGGCGGGTGCTTAATCTTCTAGGGCGATGATATCACGACTGCTCCCGATCAGGCTTGAATTTTCTAACTCTTTAATTTGTTTTTATATTATTGTATTCCAGTTTTGACAGCAGTTTGAACATTGATCGACCCATATTACACTCCCAAAGATATAATTATCATTAATGTAAGATATCATATTATCAAGAACACGGACCAAATTAGGAAAATTGTATAGGAAGGACATGCACGCGTTTCAACTAATACTCCAGCCGTCTTCTCTTCAACATAGACCAACGGACTCAATATAACAAAAGGCTTGACGGTACAATATCTAAGTCAATCACATTATAAATTAGCTTCTGCTTCTTTGGACTTCTCACAACTGCTCCTTATTCTCTTCAGTCTCCATGGCTCGTCAAGCGTGTTGCGGTCATGTTGGAGACGATAGATTTAACTTCTTCGGTCTCGTCAAGCGTGTTGCGGTCATGTTGGAGACGATAGATTTAACTTCTTCGGTTAAATCTATCGTCGCGTTGATCATGGCGTATGTGCTCATGCTCACCTGCATTTTCCCTCCTCGACAACGTCCTCTGATTATCGTCAGCCCCTTCCCTATTTCTTTCTCGTAGATACGTTGCTGAAGATCAGCTTGTTTTGAGTAATTTAGAGTTAGCAGTCAGTTATTTTTGCAGCAAATCGAGTAATAAAGGAGCTACACCTACATATTACAGAAGCATCATCTGTAAAATTCTTCTTCTTCATTTTTGTTTTTCTTTTAAAGAAACTATGGTTTTTTTATTTGTATACGAAGCAAGGTGATTTATATTGGCAACTGCAATGAAAAGAAAATGAGGGGCAAAAAAAATTAAAAACACTGTGTTTTAGTGGACTTCTATACGTTTGTTCTAAAGTCTGGCCTGTCGCTGAAAACTTGGGCTTTACTATGGGCTCGTAGAAGCAGGCAATTTAAGGTCCAAACTCCACAATATTAGCCCACTCTAATTTCGGTGATGTTTGAACCACTCTTATTACTTAAATCAAAGAAAAAACAAAAATAACTTGATGGCAACGTCATGGAAATCTCCAGAAAATGATAGCGACCGAAAGGGGAACTTGTTCTCCACTTTACTTTCTTGTATCCTTGGCTTTTCTCATCCCTCTCTCTCCATATCTAAGTGGGGAAAGAAAAATCGAAGAAAATGGAAGAAATAGGAGATTTTTTGGAGTTTTTAGTGGGAGTAATTCTCTTTGTTTTGGTGCTCAAGCTCATGGGCAGGCTCATCATCGCTCTCTTCGTCCTCTATGCAATGGTTTCCATCTTCTTCCCTCCACATAAACATAGAGTTACAGTCTACACCGCTTACTACTATTGATCTCTCTCGTAAAATTTGTCGTAATTTGTATTAATGGTGTATCAAAAAGATGCATTGAAGTCTCTTTCTTCCTAGCCTAGGTGGCTTAGGTTCTTGAGCTTTGTTTTAGCTTGATGTGATTTCGATGTAAATATCCAATACAAATAAAGCTGTAAGCATGGAGGTGAAGTTATTATATATTTAGCCTAAATTTCGTTGTTGAGAGAAGAATTCTTCCCATCTTTCTTTTTTCAGTTTATTGAATAAGCTCGAGCAGCTTAGAGGAAAGTTTCTTAAACATGTCATTGCGAGGTGAAGAATTAGTAAAAGGAAAATCCTGAATTTGGTAAATAAATAAACAAGTAAAGGACTTTTTATTCTGAAATTCAAATGTGTGTTTTAAAATTGTTTGGTTCTATAAAATAGGTTTTATTTCGATTGAAAATAAAATAAGTTTTTTAAGATGTTCTAGTTACCCCCAAATAGATTGACAATAGTTTTCCGTAAAAATGTGATTCAAATCAGACTTATCAAACAAAGCAGTCTATTCGAGTTATCTCTCTCCTCTTCCCTCTCTCCACAGCAGCTACGAAAAGAGCATCGACAGCAATGAGCCTATCACTAACATCAAAGCAACTCAATATGAAGCTATTTAGTTCAAATAACGAAGCTTGAGTGAATCTCATCACAATTTGGTGCTAAATATTTGACTCATTTGTTGATAATTTTCACATTTGCAATTACAAATTAGCTACTGAAAGTTGATGATTAATTAATTTGAGGATATTTCTTTTTTTTTTAATTGATAATTTGAGAGATGGTTTTGCAATATTACACTTTAAAGGGTATTTTTACTAATACTCATGATTGAAGAGGTATGTATATGCAAATAACCCTATATCTTTCCCAGACTTGGAAACAACTCCATTTGATCTTAGTAACATGTGTATTTGCAACATATCAGTCAACTATAAGAGATGAAACACCACTAATACTACAGAAAAATAAGCTTGAACGAGCACCAACTCAAAGCATTCAAACAAGAAAAGCATAAATATATAATATATTGTACAGACCTCTCGCTGTTTTAAAATCCTAAATCATCTAATCCAAAAACTGCATCAGCAACACATTTTGGCTTGCTCACGCACGCAAATAACACAACAACCGCTTCTTCCCTTACATTACCATCATCATTCACTTCTCTTCTTTTTCTTGTCCTTCTTCTTGCTCTCTGTTCCAGCTTGAGCTTCTTCTTCTTCTGCATGTTTCTTCTTCTTCTCGTCTTTCTTGCTTGGCTCTTCAATTTGTTCTGCCTCTTCAGCTTCTGCCTTCTTTTTCTTCTTCTTCTTTTCCTTGCTTGGCTCTTCAACTTGTTCTGCCTCTTCAGCTTCTGCCTTCTTTTTCTTCTTCTTCTTTTCCCTCTCCTCTTCCTTCACTTCTTTAGCTTCGGCAACTTGATCATCATCTTGCGCATTGCCATTCTCTACCTCAGTCTTCTTCTTCTTCTTCTTCTTCTTCTTCTTCTCTCCATCTTCATCGACCCTCTCTTGAGCCTCAGTAGCCTCTTCTTCCTCGTGCTTCCTCTTTTTCGAAGCTACTGATTCTTGTCCATTAGTCAGCATCTCGATATCTTGCTCTGTAGCCCTTCCCAATACTAAATCAGATGAAGGATTGTAACTCTGCGAAACTCGAAATTGGTATGTATTAGAGGGTGGAAAGCAAATTTGTCACTTCAACACAAGGAAGGTTGAAATGGAGGAAAGTCCTATGTGACTGTAAAAACTGAAGAGAAAAGTTCAAGGTACAGTTAAAAGACCAATAATACCTAATAAATCAGAAAGTTGAGTTAGGAAATATATGAAAAATGTGTGCAGCAGAAATAAGAGTGTTACGGTGTATTTGTGGATATTCATAGTGATTAATTTAGCACAACTAAATGGAAGAATAGCGTTCTCGAAATTGATCACCGAATTTTGAAGACTTTGTTGCCATTGTTGATGTAATCACTTCATGATGTAAAGAAAAATACCTTTGCAGCAGTAATCAAAGCACCGGCACCCTTCTTTCTATCTTTGTCATACACTTCAATCTTAGGCTTTCCTTTCACAGATCCAGCAGACTTGCTTAATTCTCTACCCTCAAGAACCCTCAAACGAGCTTCAAGCTATTTACAGAAAAACAATATCCACATTAGTATTTGAGAGCAATGCGAAGAATATAGAACACGAAGTAACAAGAAGACTGTTTTTATGTAAACATTGTACCTTGGCTCGATTCTCAAGACCCATAGAGTTGTCTTGGCCATCGCCAAGAGCATCGTATCGGATGGCTAGCGCAGTCTTTGCTGCAAGAGATCGAGAAATTTTTCCCTTCATTTTAGGGGCTGCTTGACCAACTAAGGATGCATGGAAGATGAGCCCATATTTTGGTGTTGCATGCTTTGTCTTGAGAGCTCTAAAAAGGGCCTGCAATTGGATATATTTTGCATGTTGAAGTTATAAACGTTTGTAGAAGGGCTAGAACTTCTAGTAACAGGTAAGCATATTGATCTGAGTATTCAGAAGTACAGCATAAAGCTGAAAGGCTGTCAAGTTGTAAACCAGAGATTCAGCGTTGAACTTATTAATAAGACATGTATTCGTGTAGTTTAATATTTCACACTGCTGAGCTGAATTAAGTCTCTACAAGCAACCTATCAAGCATAGTCCTAATCTTGTATTCAAGCTGAGTAGCAAGAAGAACATACATATGCTTTTGCGGACCAGTTCCTGTCTGGAGATAAATTCACATTCTCCACTTTAAGTGGTCTAGGCTATTAGTCTCTCTTGATGTTGTGGATATCCTATTTTATATCATGGCAAGAATATGTAAGGTAGCTTTTAGCCGAGTTATCAACTCATTCCACCCTTCACAGTTCAAGTCCTGAGACCTAGCAACTTAAGTTTGCAACGATGTTGCATGGGCACATGTACGAGACATAAGTCATGACAAATTTGTTACAGGTATGGTTAGGGGACAAGACTATACATACATGAAATCAATATTATTTTTTCATTCACATTGTTTGAGAATTAAAATTCCTTTTATGTTTCGTTTATTATATATACTATAAATTGGAATGACTTGTTCAACAACCCAACCAATCTTAAGCTCTAAACTATGTGCTGAAATGAACCTGAACCTTATCCAACATATTACAGAAAGCGAATGTGAAGGATATACATTAAGTGTATGACAAACTTTTTAACGTGTTCCAACTTAAATTGGAACTATATAATTTTGTACACGCTTAAATAAACGTATGCATATATTCAAGAAGTGCCAAAGGAGCGTTGTTGTCTAATACGGATATCACAAGTGTTGGGTACAGCTTCACAATAGAAGTGTCTTTGCAACATAGGTTCACAACTATCTTACATGGACACAAATACGGAACATGGCAAATTTGTAAGAGGTAGGGTACAGAACACAGCTAAATATATACGTATAAGCATAAGATCAAGAGTAAATATTCTATCAGAACACCCCATATAATGGGATGATCTATCCTGTACATAGGTGGTTAGAAGGTTAGATTAGGAATTGTAACTAATTAATCCATGGTGTAAACTACTCCACTCCTATAGGAATGATTCTGATAGGAGCACTACCGTAGGGTAAAATTGTTTCTTCATTCACACATTATGAAAAATATATTTCCTATACTATTTTCATGTTTCTTTTATTATTTAGATTATAACTTAGAAAATGACCTGCCTTGTAGCCTAATTCCCAAAATACCCTTTTAAACCCTAGTTCTAAATAGGGTAGGGTGTGTGCAACAATTCTTAAGTGCAAGTGAAGTACACTATATACATTTAAGAAGTGCATGACGAGAGTTTTAAATTAAAACATGCATTATATAATTTGAGCACTTTTGAATAAGCGTGCTTATCTCCAAGGCCTGTCCAATAGGGTCAATATCCATAACAAGTAAGACATGGATACAACAAGGATAAACTCCATGATAGAAGTACCTATGCTGCGTAGGTTTGCAATCTCTCTTGTCCATCATAAGATTAATTTTCCTCTTAATGGTTTCAGAGTTTCAGTCTTTATGAGCATAGCACATTATGTAATCCTTATACTTTTTGTAATCAACATTATGACTACATGAACTGTATGTCATTCTCATTCCATATTCTGAACTATCCAAGGTTCTATATCCAATAATATTGCAGGTCTCATCGCTATATCTTAATTTACTTTGGTTTAAGCCTCAATACGAGTTCAAAATTCCTATACCATGGATGGCTACTATCAATCTTTAACACTGGTAGAATGTGCAAGCTCCTATAAATCTAGGGTGCACTGCAATCACTTACAGGAAACTTGATCGTGTAGCATGAAATGTACTTCGAGTAAACCTCTTATGCGGTGTGCTTAAGAAAGCTTATGTGTTGTGCTTAAAAAAGGAAAAAAAGCTACGTAATAGGAACTAAACTTTAAAAAAGCATCAGCATATACAACACGATTTAGAAAAAAGATCCCATTGCACTAATTTCTATTAATCTTTAAATTTAATGGTTGTAGCCAGGTCTTGAACCTGGAACCTCCCACAACCCAATCCCCACTTAACACCGAGTGCGACCTCAGCAGTTCTCCGGATATCATTCTTCATTAAACTTAATAACAAGGAAAATGAAAGGATATGACGTGCTACGTTGAAGGCAATGGATATCTATCAATCAAACAAGGACTGAAAGTATCAAGATTGTGCCTGATAAGGGTAAAGAAGTGTCTGGTGCATAGAAGATATTTATAAATCTATAGTCATTCATCTTTATATACTCAGAAAGATGAACTTATCTTCTCTTCGGTACTTCTGTACCTCTGAAATCTGACATGCATCACAGTACAAAATTGTGTTTAATGATAGATAAATATCACACCGCATATTTGAGTATTCAATAAAGTTATGTTCCTAACGTAAACATGTTTTATTAATAAAACACGAGCAGAATGTGGTTTGCATGCAATATGCATATCTATGAAAGAATGACTCTATTAGAGTTGGAAAAAAATTCAAAAAAAAAATTGTTTGACCATATAGTTGCCTACCATATCAAATAAGATGCGCTGTGATCCTTGAGAAAACATAAACAAACACCCTCATTTTGTACAAGAAGTTGCAGAAACATTGCAAAATGCAAATAAAGTATTGCATCAAAATTCTGTTTAAATCTTCTAACGTGGTTTTTCCTGTCTAATATGCAGATATTAAAACTCATGTCATACAAGTGCTTCCGGTGCCAATTAATCGGATGTAACTCAGCTATCAGCAATGACACACCACTAGGTAAAAATAATAAACAGATATACCAGGTCCAAAATTGGAATTTCATTAGTACAGAGCAATGCACGCGACTTGTACAAAATAAGGTCCAGTTCTATGGTATAACAAGCAAGTTCCCATTCTTCTAAACAAAGCACATGGAGAAATTATCAGTGGGACATCTCTTACATTTAACTTAAAGATGACCTACATGCATAGAGGCCTTCACATAGTATAATCTGGATTAGTTGTTCCAAAACATTATCCTTTGCCTTAGCATTGCATACACGTACACATAGTTTGAACTCAATACTAATCATGTAGGACACCAAATTTAAAATAATTATATATCATATATAACTTACACCTGCTCAGCTTTGATGGCCGCCATACGAAGATGGCGCTTGGCCTCAGACACATGCATGCATATGCTAAAAATCAATGAAGAATAACAAAAAAAAAAAATCAATGATCATATATAATCTGAATCTACTCAACTGGCAAGCCCATCTAAGATCACAGTATATTGAACCTTTCACGCATCTGATCACATAGTGCATGCAAGTGTATACGTGGAAATAAATATAAACTCTGAGTAACAGACACCATATAAAACTTGGACATTCTCAGCTAACCGACGCGTGCATGAGCTCAATCTTGAGTGATATGCTAAGATCCAATTTTCTCTTAGCTAACCAACATAAGACATACAGTTATTTTTTTTCATCGTCATCGATGAACCACGAATATTGCAAATAGCAAATTAAGTAATTGCAACGTTGCAAAAAGGCATGTTTCCTTCTTAGTGTACTAGTCATTGACACAAATACCTATGAGATTATTGTTGAAAGAAACTATAAATATTGAATGATGTGAACTGATAATTGTATATGTAGTGAAAAAAAAATATAATGCAGAAACATATGTCAAACTTTAACTTACAAAGAGAGTTGGATCTAACAACTAGAATGAAGATGTAAGTGGCAAAGATATCTATGGTAATAAAACAAAAATTATTTGCATTTGCGTAATAATTGCTTCAACTCAATGCTCCTAAGAGACCCTATCAATATAGTAAGGCCCAGAAAGAGTAAAAAAGATCTAAAGCTGGATAACTCTTCTAAAATTAGCATCCTAACACGTAATGAAAAAAACTCTCAAAACCGAGAAAAGCTTGATCAAGAGTTCTTATCGTTCTTTCAAACAACTGAATTCAAAAGTACAGTTTTAAGTTCAAAGGTGTCACAGATTATACCTTTTCGGCACCAAGTATCTGAACTGTGCTCCCAGGTTGTTTTGCTAAATTCAACAAACTACCACCATGAGCAATAAGCCGTGCCCCAACAAGCTCTCCAACAAGGGCAGTCAAATTTGGTGCAATAGTGTTCATTCTGCTCTTCAAATAATCATACAACTGAGCCCGATACTCTGAAAGAGCTAGAACTTGGTCACATAGTTCTTTAATGTTCAACAAATCTAGATCATTGACTTCAGTTCCCATGGAAATAACAGCAGCTTCTTTCAGTTCTGCTTCAGCCTCTTCTGACAAAACCTGATTGAGACAAAAAGGTTTATATATACAACTAGCATTTGTATGGAACACGTAACTCAAAATAACAGTTGAGTATGATGATGATGATGATTATCTACCTCAGAGAAATCGAGATGTGCTGCATTCACACGATTGCCCATGAGCTTCACCACCTTCGCATATTGAATATTGTCCTGTACGATTTTGGCAAGCTCAGGGAAATGCCAACCATACCATTCACGGACTCTCATGGCATAAGTGTTAAGCTCTTTATCAAGATCATCCAACAAGCCAATAGCTTGAATAATCATGGTATCTACCTGAAATATGGCACAATAAGTTAATCAATTTAGTTAAACACAACACACAAACAAATACACAAATAATTAGCATATCAATCAAAGTGTGTGCACATTAGACTGATTCAAGAACAAAAAGGTCAAATTGCGAATAATCCGTCATCTATAACTTTAGTAGCTCTTATCCCCCTCAACTAGCACTTATCAACCTCGGATTTGAGAAGAATAAATTGTAGATAACCCTCAACTTCGTCATCAACTGAGGGGTGAGACGCGGTAATAAATGCGTTGAGGCATGATAAGTGCCTCGACGAGGGGGTTATCAACAATTTGCACAATCAAAAAATCACTGCCACTGGGTTATATAACATGAAACTCAAATTTGGGCCATTAAAAGGGTGTGATAAATTGCACAAGGAGAAATTATATTACCTTATCTGGACTAAATTTTAGCTTAAACCGAGACAGACTGTGCGATAAACCCAAGCTCATCGGAGCAAGATCTTGCACACCGAGGCCAGATATAAGCTCAGTGAGCTGGCTTCTCACTCCTCTCATCAGCTCCATAACAGCATTGTTGTGAAGACAATCTATTTTCTGCATACAACCATAAATTTGTTTCCCATAAAAGCAAACATATCACACCAATTTTATAAAAACTAGTATCAAAATATCAAGACAAAACCAACCAGTTTCTCTTTTATAGCATTCCCAAGTTTAGAATCAGCAACAGCCAGTGTCTCGCCATCACAGTGACTGCGTAAAAATTTACGAAGATCTTTACTTGGCTTGCTATCAATAAGCAAGGTGGAGGCAGCTAAAGCTTCCGACGTGTTCTCAAATTTACTGAATGCTTTCAATTTGACCACCTAATTAACATTAAAAATTTATCAAGAACAAATCACACACAAATCCCATATTATAATAAATAAATGAAAAAGACTGTCACCTGTCTAGCTGATTCTGATGTCGAGAACTCCTTCCATAAATCCTAGAAAGACATCAAATAAAAAAAAGGGTTAAAGGGGGCAGATCAAAAGATGAAGACTTTAACGGCAATTGAATTTTTTTATTTTAAAATCATTCTTATACCCTCAAGTATTTGCAAACTCACCCACTTCCAAAATCATTCATTACCCCAAAACACCCAATCTAACTTATTTTACAAACTCAAATTCCACTTTAAGTAAGCATGAATCAGGGTAAAATAATAGGTAAATTTAAAGAAAAAACAAATAAAAAAGAAAAAAAGGGGGGAAAAATGGGTGAGTACCTCAACTTTGGAGAGCTTTCCTTCGTCTAAAACTTTGAACAGGGCGAACCCTGCAGGGGTTTCAAAGAGAACCAACATTTTCTACGACTTTCGAACCCAATAATCTAAAACACAAAAATAAAAGAAAAAACAAAGAAAAAATAAAAGAGAGAGAGAGAGAGAGAGAGAGTGAGAGAGAGAGAGAGAGAGAGGAGCCGCCAAGAGATAGGGAAGAAGGAAGGGTTTAGGGTTTTGAAGGGGGTTTTAATGGGGAGAGGGAGAAGGCCTTGGATTTGGGCTTGGAACGATGGGCCTCAATAAGACTGTTGGTTTGTTGATCGGAGTATATCAGCCGTTGAATCGGGTTATGGACTTATTTTTGCGTTAATTTCACGAGACCCCCTTTGAGCTTCAGAGATTTTGCCCGTAACCTCATGAACATTATTAATCTCACTAAGGCCCCTGAACTTTGGGGTATCTCACGTTACTCATTCTTTTACAATTATCATCCTTTTGAATCTGGATGATCGAGATCAGCTCCTCTATGTGCTTGAATTAGCTAGATATTTATTTTGAAAATGTGTACTACTCTCATATCTGGTGAGATGCGAAAATGTAGGGTGAATTTATTAGTATTCGCTGTAATTCATAAGAAAGGATCCATATATTTGTGTCTTTTTAGTGCTACTACGATAGTAGTATAACTATGGTGGTCACTATTCACATTGTTACAAATTTGGGTATGAATCATGTACGAAGTCAAGAATGGATTTGGTTAAAGACACTAGGTTATTATGTCAGCCAATTATCTTCCTAGTGCACACATAGGGGTGCCATGCTAATCCAAAATAAGTTCACAGCCCAAAATAAACTATCAATTTTGTGGAGTTGGATGTTATCTGATGCAAAAATAGAAAAACTTATAATCACAGGTAAGTCAAATTTAAAGATATTATAAAGAAGTATAAATAGATTGGGACAATTGCTTAGTGTCGGGGGTTTGAACGGGTCCAACCGAAAGTTAATTGGCGTAAAATAAAGGCTAGGAACTAAATTTAACAAAAAGTTTAAACTACTAACCATTGACCTCAACTCTTAATTAAACTCATCACCCTTTCTTATCGTTTACGGCATATAGAAAAAAACAAATTAAGCAACTAAAGCAGTTAATAAACCAAATTAAATAGAAATATTCATATATACAAAAATATGATATAGTAGGATTAGATTAGCTTGATTTCATTATCTCAGTCAGTATGGATCTGGTCAAGATATTTGGCTCAGAACAGCACAAACAAAAGGACACAGTTCACATATATAACAAAACAACCAAATATAAACAGCCACATGAAAATTAAAGAATTGTGACTCCTTAATGACGGCTATCCTTAAGATCAATTTACAGACACATTATTACACTTCTTGGATATGGGAGAAACGTTGACAAGACCCGAGGATCTGCAGGCCGTCGCCTGAGTTTGATACCGACCCCAAGTAAACCCCAGGTGTGTCAGTTTCACCTTCCATTCCCACACTCATGGTTAGGCAAACAAGATCGAATCAAGGACTTGGGAGTGTTGGCAGTATTAACACTTCGTCCCGCCACGACCTGCTCTACCCACGGCCGGTACACATCATTACACATACATACACCATTACACTTAATATACATGCAAACCCATATTTACATTTTCAGTAACAAGACAGACTCCAATCCTGAACCAAACTAGCTCAACCTACATATGCCAGGATCCGGCTAGACTGCGAAGGAGCTGGTTTAACTGAAGTTATCTGAACTCGCAAGACTTCATGAACTGCTCCTCTGTTAAGCACACATAAAACCTCTTCCCCTTTGCTCACTGCAAGATCGCCAAGAGCAACTCTTCGAATTCTGTGCTCGTCAGGTAGTCGAAAGCCATAGAACCACCTCCCTAGCTTAAACCAATTCACGCAAACTTGTCGCTCGAAAACTTGGCATTTCCTTAGGGCTTCCATCATATCATGGGGCTGCAATATCGAAGATTTTGCAATAACCATGTTAATAATATCTACAAGGATTTCTATAGCTTTCATTTACATTACTTGGGGAATTATGTTTTTGTAGCTGCAAACGTTTCACTAAACTCTTACTAATTAGATGCCTGTTGTTCTAAGAAAAGTATGAATGACACTGAAATCAATGCTAGGAATGGTTTGTTTCTCGACTTTTTGGAGTATCTTACACACCAGTTAAAGCAAAAATTAGAATTGCCAGATACATAGTAGTATTATGATTAAGGAATCATGTGATACACATTAGAACAGAGCATCATCATGTGCAACCTAATATTGTGTTAAGCAAGCTTCTACACACTATAAAAGAAATTCCGAAGTATAAGAAAAGAATTAGGTTGCAAAAGGTTTCTGCAGAGATCAAAAGAACGAAGGTACATAAATGTTTGGATCGGCTTCTCTTCTCTTGTGAAGTAGAGAGAAAATTGCTCCTTATTGTACAACAATCTATAATGTTACAAATGGCTGCTATAATAAGAGATCCATTCTATTTAAACTACTACAGGTTTACAAATCTACCAACTTAATGAATTTTAAAGAGCTACTAATGGAAAATGCATCCGTAGTCAAGATACATGTGAAGAATTACTTACTGAAATTCCAAGGAAGTATACGCAATAGTGCAGCCCAATCAAATTCAACACTACATTGTGCTTTCTTGCTAGTAAAAACATCTGAACATCCTTAAATCCCAACTCTATTGAGCGTAGATCATTTATTGCTTTCAAATAATTTCCGACTTCAAGTGATTCATTTTGAGTGCAATCTTCGACAAACTTAATTACCACGGAAGCGCACCGAGCTAATTTTTTGTGTTTTGATATGTAAAAACGCTTCCATCCCTACAACACAAAAACAACATGTAATAGTTATACATGGCAAACATAGGAGAGATTGATTCTCCACAAACAGATTGAACCGTGAACTTGCAAATATTATTGTAAATCTCAAAGAAATAGCTGATGACCGCATGCATAAGTTTCCAAATTAGTTATCTATTACAATATCCCAAGTCATTTGAATAGGAAAACAACATGAATCACTTAAACTGAAAGAAAACGCAATTCAGCTGCACATGCAAATGGTTATGCATAGAAGAGAAAATTATTTCCACCAACTGTTTCAGGAACGCAATCAATACACAAAACTCTATATAACATATACTCATTTTTCGATCCCTGTTCGGTCACAAAGTACCTCAGTGCCGAATGGTAATGACTTCTGCATTCATAAAAACCTGTCTGCATAAGGCCCCATGAAACCCAAACACAAAAGTAAAAATACAGAGACATAATATGATAAAGTTGGTATTTAAAACAAAAGCCATACTAAATAACTCGTATTGCTCTTATCCAAAATATGAAGTTATGAACTATAAAGAGAAAGGGTAAAAGGGTTGTTTGTTTGACTGCAACGAGCAAATGCAGCCGCAACTACATTTGTAAAACTGCCTCAAGTTGCAGCTAACATCTTACACAGATTTGAACATCAGTCGTAGAAGCAACCGTTCAAGCTGCAAACAGCATTCATTCTAAAACTCCAATGCAACCAATCCCCAACAGAAGTCCAAAAAAAAACTGATATCTCAAGACAAAAAACATGCCAAAACAGCCGTAGGGAACCAAAAATTCCCTAGCCAGACGATGAACAGAGCCCCATTTCAAAACCCCAAAAAATCAAAATATTCATTCGCAATCAACTAACGCATCCATTCATCTTGCTAACTAAATAATAAGTAGTAGCAAAGAAGGCCAAAACCACAATAGCCATTGAAAACCAGTTCAATGGTATTTGTTTGCGTTATTTGCGCTTCAATACCCCAAAGTCTCATTTCTAATTTTACAATCTGAAATTAGTTTTGTAAGAATATCAAGACAGAGAAGTGCGTCACGTGCGAAACTTTTTAAAAAAAAAAACCAAATTTTAGTTTTTAGAGCTCGGGGTAAGCGAGGGGAAAAGTTTAGGGCTTTTGGGGGTAACAAATTGTCAAATTGCCGTCAATTTGAAAACTCTGGGGGAATCAAATTGTCATAATCAAAAGGTAAAAGAAACACCGGAAGCTTAGGCTAAACAATAAAATCAAGAAGAAACGAATAAATCGATCAAGAAACAAAAACCTGAAAGAGGGGAGGAGGGGCGTTGACATCGAGGTTGAGGTGGGGCCACCTCTTGAGGGTGAGCTGGAGCCAGAGAGGGTCGGAGGAACAGAGATCGTACCAGAACTTGGAGCAGCTCCCCAAACTACAGACCTCAGGTACCTACCAAAGTTTATGTTTTTTTTGTTTTTTGTTTTTTTTTTCGTTTTTATTATAAGATTTCCATCAATCAATAAACAATTTTTTAAGAAGATTAGAGAAAAATAAGAGGAAGGAACAGAAAGAGGGGGGGAGACGAACCTCGAGGAGTGAAGCGATGGAGAGGCCGATGTCGTCGGGGATGCTGGAGTTCATCCTTGACGCCATTGATGGAGATCGATTGTTGAAGAGGGAGCTAAATACGGTAGCGTACGTGGTTGAACGTTTGAGAGAGGAAAGAGGTGGATCTGGTGTACACGTGGCGGGTGATGGGTGGCTTCGCCCAGGTGCTTTGATGTTCCGCCTAAGGACACGTGTGATTGCGACAGACCCAGCTGCGTGTGCGTAGGACTTTCTCACTTCCGGATTATGCCGCGGGCTCCACAGTCCACAGGAATGGTCATAGGGTCGAACGGAAAGTTACTAGGCTAAGGGGCTGTTTGGTTATTTCCTAAAAAACCAAAAAAATAGAAATGCAAACCAAGAAAATTTAAAAAGTACAATTTCACACATTTACATCTTTAAAACTCACCCACAACATCTAATAAAATATTATTTTTATCCAACAACTCATCCATCATATCTAATAAAATATTATTTTCATCCAACAACTCACTCACATCATCCAATAAGATTGTGACAACTCATCTCATCTCATTAACATTTTATTTCTTTGTTTTCCTCCCAAAAAGCTAGGAAAATAATTTCCTTTAAGTGTGGATCACATCATCCAATAATATAATGACAACTCATCTCATCTCATCTCATATATTTTCTTATTTTTAAGAAATAACCAAGCAAAAGAAATTAACCTATTACAATAAATAGGTTTTTTATAATTTATTTCATTATTTTTTTCGCCAACCAAACAACATCAAAACAAGTTTTCTTAAAAAATCACTCACATCATCCTATAATAAGGTGACAACTCATCTTCATTTCTTTGATTTTCTTCTTTTTTTTAGCAAACCAAACACTCCCAAAACAATTCTTTGATTTAATAGTTTTCCATTTCTTTGATTTTCATTTTTTTTAGGCAAACAAACAGGCCCTAAAAAAAACTAAGGAGAATCAAAACTGAGGAGAATCGAGCTTATGACATAGTAAATTTTCATTAAAAAATTCAGAACTTTTCCAAATTTTTGGTGGTTTCGGTTGTTTACGAGCTTGGATGTAATATTCAAACCTTCAAAGATAATATTTACTAATATTCAAACCTTCAAAGATTTTGAAATCATGGTCATATCAACTTTATGTAAGAACCATGGAATCTGAGGTTTAATAAATAGTATGAAAACAAAGTCCACAAGCAAATTCTGATACATAACCATGTTCACATTTCATTCTACTCTCAACAAAAGGAATTACACATGAGAACTAAGATTTAGGATCAAAATCAGCAAAATTACAAACTTCTGTTGTATGAAAACATCTATTTTTTAGAATCGTCAATTATGCCCTGAAGAAGATGCTCAATTCTATACTTCATTACGGGCTGTCCTGATCGAGTCTTTTTAAACATCTTCCCTCTTTGAAATTTTCTTCTTGCTTCGGCTTGGGCCCTCTCTTCCTTCTTCACTTGGATCGTTGCCTCCCGTTCCATCCTCGCTTTCTCTGCTTCTTCTCGCTTCTTCTCAACATCTTCTCTTATGGCTT